GTCTAATCCAGACTTCTATTAAAAGACAAGGAGAGGGACAGGGAAAAAATAAGAAATAAGATGAGGAAGAAGTAGAACATGCGGCAGGAATGGTACAGAGACAAAGTTTCACATTCCAGGTGATGTTTGGGATTTAGCCAGTGGAGGTGGCAGTGTCCTCTGGTCCCCTCTCTCTGACCCAGTCTGGTCAGGACATCTTTCAGGGTTATAACAGTGAAGGTCCGGGATCCCAGAAGAAGTTTGAGGTAGCAGCCAAGCTGATGAGTCTTGCTCTTCTCTTGTCTTTCAGTCAGCCAAAGAACCCTTTTGCTCTGCCACCCACTGTCCTTATTTTCTCAGCAGACTCTTTTTAAGCATCCCAAAATGAGTGACGAGTAGGATGATATTGTTTTTTCCATCAGTTAGGCATAATTTCAGACACACAGATTTTGGGTCACTGATTTCTGGTCCCAAACTTCTCTTGTTGAAAAGGCATGAGTTTAACACACTCCTTGAATAATATCAGTAGGCCTTTTTTTTTATTAACCTAGTCTTTTTGTCTCCCTTTTACATCTTTTCTTAACATTCATTATTATGGATTATTGTGACATTTTATTAACTTTAACTCACTTTTCACAATTGAGCTCACAATTAGCTTCAATGTGTGGACTCAATTATTGCACAAGGCCCCTTGATGCTAGAATTTATTCCTTCTTGAGGTCTGGAATAGCCAAGTCTACCAAAAAACAAACAACCCGCTTCCATCTGAGTTATTTGACAAGAGAAGGAGTTGAAGTGTAGGGTGCTAGTATCAGGGCCTTATTTCATTATTTATTTATTCATATGTGTATCCGATTGTAGTCTCTCTGGTTCATATGGGCATTCACTTGCAACTGTTTATTTTGTTTCTTGTTTTATTCTTTTTACTATAAATTAAATTTTGGTCAAAATGTTTAAACCTGACTGCCTGAAGTAGAGCTCCTAAAATTTCACAGTTAGGCACCTAAATATAAATATGGTCTTTTTTACAGAATTGCTAAGTTTCTACAAATCCCATTGAAGCCAGTGGAAGCTGCAGAAACTCATTATCATTGACATTTAGAACATTTATATTTAGAAACCAAAATATGGACATAAGAGCCTTACTTTAGGCACCCCAATTTAAAAGTTTTGACCACATGCACGTGCAAATGTTTAGAATTTAATCTAGGCACATACACATGTTTAGTCTGGAGCGTGGGTGGCAGTTATAAGAGGCAGGGGAAGGCATTGATTTCCCAAACTGCCAGCCCACTCCTACGCACACTGCACCCCTAGAAGGCCTCTAGCTTCGGAGTGGCTCTGAGGCTGCCCCCCAGGCTTCAGCTGTGGAGAATCTGGGGATGCTGGGGCATTGTGCCCTGTCTGTGTTCCAAGGCGTGAGACTAGAGATGCCTGTGCTCCATAGCCAATGAGACTGGGATCACACACTGCCCTCCCTCTCTGTGCTCCAAGGCAGAGGAGGTTGGGACCATGTGCCACCCACCCTCTGCTTGCTCAAGATCCAGAAAGGCTAGGATCATACACCACCCTCCCTCCCCATACTCAGGGGCCAGGGAGGCTGTGGCTGTGTGTTTCCTGCCACCTCCCCATGCTCCGGAGACAGGGAGAAGGAGGCTGTGGTCCTGTGTTTCCTGCCTTCCCCCTGGTCTGGGGCTGGGGAGGCTCATCTGAGGGGTGGGAGGCCTGTCCTTGTGTTGTGGGATGTCTTGCACAGGAAGGGGGGATAGGATGTCTGCCCCTCTGGTGGGAAGGGGCTTGGTTCCCACAGGGACTTGGGCAGAAGGGACAAGGTTGGGGGGGTTCATCCACCATCCATGATCTGGAGAAGAGAAGACTGAGCTAGGGTCATAATAACAGTCTTTGAGTATGTAAAAGATTGTTATAAAGAAGAAAGTGATAAACTGTTCTCCTTGTACACTGAGGACAGGAAAAGAAGTAATGGACTTAAATTGCAGCAAGGGAGATTTGGATTAGACATCAGGAAAAACTTCCTTAGCGTGAGAGTAATGAAACACTAAAACAAATTGCCTACAGAGGTTATGGAATCTCAGTCACTGGAGGTTTTTAAGAGCAGGTTAAATAAACATCTATCGGTGACAGTCTAGATAATACTTAGCCCTGCCTCAGTGCAGAGGCCTGGACTAGTTAACCTACTGAGGTATCTTCCAGTCCTACATTTCTGTGATTCAATGGAACTGGGAAAAATAAATAGCAGCTGTGTCCAGGCCTATGATACGGCTTGACAGTCAGCATAGAGCAACCTCTTGGGTTATGAAGCCATGTTACGAGGGTAGTTTCACAGCTAGGTGGAAAACAGGTGAATGAAAATGAAGGCAAACTTTTAAAAAAATAGTAAATGAAGAGTGGAGAGGAGAAGGGGATGGAGGGAAAGGACACCATAGTGAATGATTATCTCAATAATTAGTTGACTGATATATTGACTGTCCATGTTAAAGACAGCCGAGGTGACAGAACAAACAGTTTCTGATGTGATCCATTATATACACAAAAAGTAAATATATGGCAGAGCAACCCTCTTAGGGGTAGGAAATGAGCACCGTTATACACGTCTGTAGGGAGAACTCAGAAAGACAGAATTAAATACCTGAATTGGAATTGAGCCTAAGCCTAAGCCTGAGCCTGGAAATTAAAAGCAATTCTATCACCCTGTCTAAAAAAGACTGGAACACAGGAAGTATCCCATCCACCCCCTGGAACTCCCTCCCCCACCCAAACAAGAGGTCACCGATTTGTTTTTGTCTGCATATTTGGAAGATGCACATCTTCCCCTGTGAATGCTCTGATTCAACAAGCAACAGGTTGTTGAAATGTGTAAGAATTCTCCCTTCCAGCAGGGTTGTTGGCAGTGTCAGGCAGTGTGGAGGGTTGGTATAACACATATTGCAAATTAAGAGAACAGTTGGGCCTAAATATTTAATCCTTGACAAAGCATTCCTTTATAATTAAAGGCACAAAATGCATTTAATATCTACTGTTACTGTAATTACTTTACCCTTTCTGCAGAAAAACTTGACTGAGGTATCTTGTCCCATCTTGACTGTTCCATCAAAACAACAAAGATGCTCTTAATAATATAGTTTAATTACACCCATTCTTATCTTAAAACCTATTTCTTTTCTGATTTACCTATTCTCCTTAATTTCCTTTCTCCCTCTGTTACTGCTTTTATCATTCTCTAGTTTCTATAATTGGTTTTTGTTCTTTATACAATTTAACTGGAACTCTGATATAATTCAAAATCTGAATTTTGCGGTACCTGTGCAATAAAGATCTCTGATCAGTTTATTATTCTTCAGTAAAATATTTATAAAAAATTTACCTTTCTAGACATCAGTTAAAACAGCTCTGTGTCACATCCAATCAATATCTGCATTCATTTACTCTTTTGTGGGGTATATAACTATAATTTTCTGCTATGTTTTATACGTATTATTATTTTGCTATATTAACACATATATCTTACTATTTTGATCCATTCTAAAAACTATTAATAAACTATTAATAAAATCATATGTAATATAAAATAATTATAAATTAATGCAATAAAACTAATAAAATCATATCTATATATAATAAGATTTTATTAATGCATCAAAATAGCAAAATACTAATGTGTTAATTTTAGCTATAGTCAGGTATAACTTTACAGCTATAGCTCTGAATGCTGCCTCTGTCTGTTTATAGATGGTTTATGAGTCAGAGCTGAGCTCCTTTTTGTCTGCTGAGAATTTGTGTTTGTGTTTCACAGAAGCAGATCATCTAAAATTTAGATTAAAAACTCTACCCTCCTCACCACACTCCAAAATAAGACTTGTTGATCTTGTAACTCAACTGTAGAGAGATAAGCTTAACTGGTAACTCCTTTCTTTATTAGCCAATATGCTAAAGAGCTAAAATTCAGGTTGGTTTTTTTATTATTATTTTGAATGGTAGGAAAGCACCATTTTGTTGTTAATAGAAGTGATATTGGTACACTTTCCTGTTTATTTTTCTGTTTTTAATAAATATGAACAGCATGGATAGAGGCTTAACTAGCAGTAGGTTTAAACTGCAAAAGAGAGAGGTACAAAAGAGAGCTTTTGCAAACTAGAGAGAGATTTTCCTTTACACAAAATTCTTCATACACTACAACTGGTGCTTAAGCCCTGCCTGATTAGAAGTGCCAATTCCTAAGAATCAATGATACAAAATGAAAGTTTTGCTAAATCAGACTGAAAGAATGTCTAAAGTCAAGGCAGCTGTTGGGTAGAAAGAGGAGAGCGATACAGAGCAGGAGAAAAAGGGCAATTTGCCTTGACTTGCCCTGTTGAGAGGGCCTCCTAAATGTTAGAAAGTAGAAGAGGGATCAGAGATATGACTCCCGCCAACAGAAGGGCCAGAGCTCCAAGAGAGGTAGAAACAGGTATTGCTCCCAGCTGTCTGGAGGGCAGAGTTCTGGGGCCCCTAAAACCTCTGTGTACCTCTGTCTAAGTTTGAGTGCTTTTTGAGAATTTCACACTATCTGTGAAACAAAAACGGACTTCACAACTTCTTGCTTATTTTGAAATGGTAACTTTATGAAGCTCTGATTGTCAAAATAAGGCAGAGGAGGGGTGATTTTGAGCATGAATTTATAATTGCTCCTAAATCATAAGTACTGCAAAAGCATTCAAAAAGTGTTTGGTTTGGTTTGGTTTTAAAATAATTTTCAGCATTCTTGAGACTGTAGATTAGCACAGTAATCAAGGAACAAAGCATCACTATCAAACTGAATTTAGATAAACTCCTTAGTGCCTGTGTGTAGGGTGGCTGAGGACATCAAACAAACATGTTGTGATTCTGTTTGATTCAGTTCTAATACAAATGAGCACACCGGATTTAAGGAAAAAAAAAGTACTGCTATTTATCACAGGCTCCTTTTTTTGGATGTGATAGAGGTTGTGTAACTAATCAGAATGTGGTATGTTTCTTTCTTTCAGATTTACCGCTGGATTATAAATTTACCCGATTTTCCTCAAATAGCTCGGAAACTGCTGGTTACTATCCAACACCTCCAAAGGTACTACTATCAAATGGTGAGCCAGTGACTACAAAATAGATCATATCCCTCTTTTTGTTACATGCCCTTGTAGTCCTTAACTAACTACCATCAGAAGCTAATTGGTGAAAATACTATGCAATGCTCCATAAAATCAAGTGATGAATTAAAAAATGGACCCACCTGCAGAGTTGTGTTTTACTGTAGCACCACTGGCACAGAGAAGCAGGGAAGATTTATCTGTACGTCTTCTTTCCCAGATACCAGTCAGAGTGCACTGAAACAAATTCATCCCAAATTACATTCTAAATTCACACCACGCTGAACAGCACTGTCTGTAGTCCCTATTTAAGGTCACTGCAGTCGCCACTGTTGCAAAATTCCTGAGAAAGCTGAGGACACCTCTGTGAGCGAGGGCAGTGCTATTATCCCCATTTTACAGATGGGGAATTGAGGCACAGAGAGACTAAGGACCCAATTTGTAACGGTATTTAGGTGTTGCTCTGACAGTGTTAGGTGCCTACATGACTTAGGAACCTATGCTATTTTTAAAGTGATTTAGGCACTTAGCCTAACTCCCATTGAATGAGTCTCTTAAGTCACTTAGGGCATGTCTACCTTGCAATTAGATTTCTGTGGCTATCCTTTGCCAGCTGGCTCTGGATCTGGGGCTCAAGCCAAGGATCTGTTCAATTGAGGTTTAGATGTTCAGGCACAGGCTGCAGCCCAAGCTCTAGGACCCTCCCACCTCCCTGAATCCTAGATCCCGATCTCCAGCCCACTTCTGAACATGGACACTACAGTTAAACAACCACTTAGCATTAGCCCCCAGAGCCCAAGCATGGGTTTTTAATTGCAGTGTTGATAAATCCTTCTGGCTAGATTTTTAAAAATATTTAAGCATCTAAAGATGCTGATAGATGCCTAGTGGGATTTTCAAACACACGTTGGAACCTAATTCCCATTTATCTCAAAAGCAACCAGTATACCAGTTCCTCTAATAAAATAAGCTGCTCCAGCAATAGGACTTTTTTGCTGGTATAGTTGCATTTACGCTAAAGGTTTTGCCAGTATAACTGTGTTGGTCAAAGGTGTAATATTTTTTCACACTCCTAATGGCCTTAACTAGGCTAGCAAAACTCTTAAACAGACCAAGTGCTAGACTTGCCACTGGACACATTCCTTCTTCTCAGTCCAGAGTTACTAAAAATATGAGTGGAGTTACTCCAAATGTACACTCATTTAATAAACCAGAATTTGGCCCTTTATTTCAAAAGCAGCATGCCTGACTATCTATGAATCCCAGGCACAAGGCAGTAGCAGAATATCGGATAAACTTCCTTAGACGAGTGGATGCTATTTTGATATTTTCACTTATAGACTTCCTGTTTGAAGCAAACAACTGTTACATTGTTATCTTCTTATGTCAGCATGATGGTCTGCATAAAATAAATAAGTAGTCTAACCCCAGTTCACTGCATGTTTGCATCCACACAGGGTAAGATAGTTCATGTGCAGAAATCAGAACACAAAAAGAAGCATGAAATCTTTGTCACACAGAAATTAGCCTGAACTATCTTGTTTCTCTAACATAGAGGCGTTTGTTTGAAATTTATTTGCTCAGTATATCTGAGCCTTTTCAGTTGGCTGTGTGCTTAACAATGATGGGTTATCTCAAATCATACCTATAAAGAAAAAACAAAAAGTTTAAAAAGTAAAGAAATCAAGAAATGTGTCCCTTAGGGGAAATATGGGTTATAAGTAAAAGTGAAATAAGGTCTTTCTGGTGTTCAGAAGTGCCAAGTGCTCCCTAAAAAGCTGGGATTTTACTCCTTTTCTCTTTAGTGCCAGTTAAAGGAAGAATGGTGATGTTCAGACTTCTTCCCCCTGCCCTCTTTTCTCCCCCACTCCTAGGAGTCAGATTCATAGCTGCTGTAAAATGACATAGGGTATGTCTACACAACAGCGCTAATTTAAACTAACTTAATTAATTCAAACTAAGCTAATTCGAACTAACGGATCCAGACTAAAAAACTAGTTCGAATTAGCGTTTTGCTAATTCGAACTAGCATGTCCACATTAAGTGGACCCTGAACCAGGGTTAAGGATGGCCGGAAGCAATGCCGGCAGGGCATCAGATGAGGACTTAGAGCATGGAGCTGCTGCCTCAGGCTAGCCGAGGTCTGTGCTTAAAGGGACCCAACCCCCACCCCGGACAGACAGTTCTCAGGGGTGCCCCGCTTGCAAAGCAGTC